AGCTTTTACCCCCCAAGCGCCGCAATAGATGTTTCACATAAAAAAAGATAAATCTCGTATATATAAAGTTGGGGCATCTAACAGGCGTTGTAGGACTGTAAGTGCATCACAGGTTCTTGACCACGTTCATTAAACTGCATTTTATTAAATAACAAGAGATTTGTAGGTAATTTTATGATAACGTTGCAAGTAGCTTGAAGCTTATAGATTCACGTGATAATCTTAGTTTCTCAATTAAAAATCCAATTTTTTAAATAAAATAGTGGCCTAACTTATGGACCATATCATTTCTTTTTGTATATATTACAGGCTGGTACTAGCAAGGTGGCCCACACATTTTCACGGTCCATCAAAGCATGTCCATATTATGGGCCATGGATAATAAGCAACTTTATCATTGTTTTAAGTAATTCACCAATAGAATTTTTGTTTTTTAATGTTTTGTACACATTTATGAAGCTGAAGAAGACATTTATATACCCAGAAAACGAATAACTTGTTAAAATCAAGTGTTAAAATAAGTTAACCTAAAACGACGATAAAACTGAATCTTTGTTTACCTTCAGTATAGTTATATACCAATGCTGATGGGCCAATGTGGTGGTCCATAATATGGACTCATGTAAAATCCTACAAAATACATATTATGGGCCACAAGAATACATAAAAACTTTAAGCCAAGTAAAGTAATCCCGTTGGTGAAAATATCTTACTTAAAAGCATTTGTTTATTTAAATATTACAAGGAATAAAAAAAAAGTGTGATTTATTTGTGTGTAATAACTTTTAAAAGGGGCCCATAATGTGGACAAAGATTTTGGGCCAGAGAGACACAAATAAATTAGAGGCCCATAATACATACAAAAAAGGATGTCAACATTTTCTGAAATTCAATCTTTTCAACACTATTTTTCACAATTATTACTATTGGTACACATTTGATAAGTCTAGCGCTTCAAGAAGATATCGGAAGTATTAAAAAAAAACGTATTATTATTTTACAATGACCATGAATCCAAAAAGGTAGTGAGTAAGTGGCTCATAATAGGTACCTTTACCTTATGGGCAGTGTATTCACCGCTATACTTTTTTGCAGTTTATAGTTAAAGTATACTGCTCATATAATTGCCTGATTACTCTTTTTAATAGCACCATAACGTTGTCATAGGAGGCCCGTATGTTGACTTTATGGCAAAATATATGGCCCATTGTTGTACCATACAGTACCTTTCCGATCGGGCACTTATCTGCAGACTTTCTTTCGAAAACAAGTGTACATCGGAGGTCAGAGTTAGTATTTACAGTAGGTAATCTACTTTTGAACATAACAGTGTTTTTTTTAAAATTTTTTTTTTAGGACAGTGGGATCAAAATCAATACTTCATAGAACTCTTTATAAATTAAAATGATAGAGAGAAAAGCTCTTGGTAAACTCTCTGAGGATTTAAAAAAGGGACATAAGTGTGATACTATAGAAATACTTTAAGAAAACTTCGGGAACACTTTGTAAATACAAAAACAAGTTTGTCAGTGAATTAATAAAGAATTCTTTAAGAATTGTGGATGCCACCAGGAACGTAGTTTAACGTTAGATCACGCTATATGGGTTAGAACCAATGAGCTAGACAGAGGAGGCTGAGTGCATACCTTTAACGATCGTTAATTACTGCTTAAATGATTATGCTAAAGAGAGCGGTGCTAGGTCGTCTGTGACCAGGGTTCCCAATCGCATAACAAATATTTCAGCTGTCGACATGTGCCAGTAAATAACTGGCTAGGTTTCATGTTTTATGGAGACCTTTGGTGGATGAATCCTCGTCAAAATTTGCTTTAAGACATTTTTCTGAACCAGTAGTTCTTGGACTAAAAGGTCCTTAAATATTGAAAGGCCCTATAAAGGACCTATAAAATTAATGATAGTTCAAAAAACGTAAAGCTTAACGATGGTTCTTATAAGAGCCAGTGGTGATACGTTGAGATATTCTTTGTTATGATCAATGATTAAGTTATGGTTTCGAATCAATGATTTGACAAACCGAATGTAACACTCTGTGACCAGCGCACATCTGCCACTTGACTTAGCTTAGCCGACGGGAATTGCAGAGCTCTGGTATCTGGACCTAATAAAACCAGACACACTGGCTTTAAATGCAGATAATGTCAGTTTTACTTTAACGCTACCTCACGAATTCTACTGAACTAAAGTAAGAACCTCTTATATTTATGCAAAACTTTAAGCTTATTGATGGCTATTGTAATTATTTTTTTGAAGATAAAAACTGTGCAAATACTATTGAAAAAGTTATAAGAATCAGTATGCAAAATGTCTTAGTGAAATTAGCCTCAGTAATTTTCGTTACTAGCAATTACAACACGTTTTGGGATTTTGCTTTATATGTAAGTAAGATGAAAGGAAAGAATAATTATTAGTGTAATGAAGTCTTAAAAGTTTAAGCATTATGAAAATTACATACACTAAATAAATAAGGATCTTTTTATTAAATTTTTTAAAATACTTTATAGCTTCAAAATTGCAAGCATTCACAATAAAATATGTAGTTAAAGTATTAATAGTAAGCTCAATGGAATAAGCTTGATAACTCATGATTCAACATTCCTTACTTTAAACAATAAAGTTTTTAATTCCTTTAAAAGAACAAAGTCAACGTATCACGTTACAGATTAAACACGATAATAAGAGTGCTACTTGCATGAAGGATAATATAGACACCAATTTCATAATATATTGTCATAATAGTATACATAAATAATTATCAGTTTTAACATATTTTGAAACTTGAAATGGGATACTACTATTATTTTTAAAGTTGTTTTAAATCTGTTTTAAAGTTCGTGTCATGAAAAAAAATGTATAAGCAACGAATAGCTTAAATACAATGTAGAGGCTAAAATAGATACTGGAAATTAAATCACGTTATACGTTTTTTCTACAGAAAATAGATTTTACTATAGCCAATAATTTGTCTGTGCTCACGACATTATATACAAAAAACATCTTCGATTTAAGCATAAGTAATAACGAATAATGAACAATAGGGTTACATTTTTTAAAACAAAACTGTTTCTACAAAAAACAATGGATCATTTTTATCATTTATTGCTACATCCATGGTCATCCAATTCTAACGTACTACTGTCAAATTTTGAAATCCTCAAAATATACCTTTACAGAATGATACAGAGTTTATATCTAATGTTAAAAATATTGGATGACAACAATATTATAACAGTTAAAAATTTTATTTATTTTATAGACTTGATTATATTAGTCTTATTTCTGTCAGAAAGTTAAATCTAATACTGCAAAACACATAACTTTTCTTTTATGCTAAGAAATATTATATCTCATTATTAAAATATAATGTTAAAAAAAATTGCTCAAGTTTCAAAAAACCTTTGTTTAACTATATGCTTATACAATTTTGAAATCTTGAGGATTGAACTTATAACGACTTTTTAAAATCATAAATCATAACTAATTTTTCAACTTAGTTTTTACTGCACAAAAAAGCAAAAAAAGTTTTGATTTATACACTTCCACGAATTATGTTCATATTTTTTTCTTAAATTGTAGCAAAAGTAGTGAGTAAATAAGCTTATTACTTAAGCTGTTACAAGATTCCCTAATTATATAAGGGTAGCAAGAAAGATTAGGTGAACTAAAGCGATACCTAAATGTCAGAAAAAAATGTACTGAATTGTTGGTTGATTTTGATGCCGTTAAGATAAGAAAGAAACAGTAAGATTAAAACAACTTATCTGTTACATACTGTATGGTATGCGTAATACAGGATCCTTAAATCACTAGGATATGCAAAAATTTTCTATACTGAAGAGAAAATGGAAATTTCCAAATGAACTTTGCTGAACAATGGTTGTCCAATATTTCGATACATCAAATGTTTTGGCGAAAAAAGTTATATTTTATTTTATGCACAAAATTTAACTAGATCAAAAAAAGTATAAGAAACACTTTTTAATTAAATAAGTTGTTATTTATTGAACGAAAATTTGTTAAAAGTCCTATCGTCAATTATTAAAATTAACTTGCCATTGCTATTCTTATGTGTTCCAAAATTAGTTACCATAAATTACACAGTTTAGTAACACGGTTTTTATATAAAATAATTGCATTAGGTTTTTTCAATCGTATAATTAAAATAATTGTCAGATATAAATAGATCTAGACTGGTACTACTATCAAACTTGTTCATATGCTTAGAATTGTCTTAATGTTCAAGTAACAGTCGTTGCGTATGCTTTTTTTTAAACAATACAACTACTATTTACCTAATTATTCATCAACTGTAGCATTAACGTTAAGTTCTTTAATTATTATATTCACAGTTCCAAAATACCAATATTTCGTTCTTTGATAGAGATTTAAAAAGCAAACAGCTGTCATACCAGTTTGTATTTCCCTGTACATATGCAAGTTGCATCATAAAATGTAGTCATAATAAGCATAAGATTGTAAAGAGATGAGTAAACATATTTAATGTGGTAAATTTTTATTTTTATTAAAAAAAATATGAGTTTCAATAGGTAAGTTAAATGTTACGTCAGTTGAAAGTATCATCACATTTAAGTTACTACTAAGCGAAAATTGGATCTATCTTCTTTTATGAAATCAATTTGTCACAGATAAAAATGTTGCATTATATTTAGGCTGATTAGTTGGCTGATTTCTGTTTATGTTTTGGCTGATATTACGTACTCTCATTTTCTAACTAATCGTTCTGCAAAAATTTATTTTTGTTTGTACGAGTACAAAGTTATTTAATTTAACACATTTCAACTTCCAATGTCCAGTAAGTAGTTGAAACATCGTAAGCTAAAACTTTACAAGCTCAAACGTTAGTTCTTTTACCATCTCATAAAAAAACTATTATGTTATTGCTAAGACAAATGCTAAGAAACCTATTAAAAATTCTCAGTACTACAATAAATATTAAAAAATTCAACACAATCATACTTTACCCTGATTTATGTGCTCTCTATAATGTTAAATAATTTTGCTATGTATATTTCAAACAAACTCTACGGATAAAAAAAATCAAACTTTTTTATTTGTATGGCCCCTAATAACATTTTAAAAAATATAAGACTTTAGTTTGCACTTGCACCTTACTCCTCAAAACTTTAATGCAAGAATATTGAACTGATTTTTTTTAAATTATGATTTTCTGACGCGTCTGCGCGTGCTACAGGTATCACAGTTCTTCTACTTTTTTGAGTTTGCATGTTGAAAAATTATATCAAAAAGTCATGTGTCATCAAAGGATACAAGAAAATTTAAATTAAACGAAACTCTTTAATTCAACGCAAAAGAGCTTCTAGTTTTAATGTTATGAATAATAGTATTTGTCGGATAAAAATGTGTTCTAAAATAGAAATGCTACCAGTGGACCGCTTAAAGTTAATGTTCTGAGCTTTGCTGAATTGCAAGCTAGTATTTTTTACGTATGAAAAAAAGCGGGTAATCATTTAAGATGTCACCAAATTTTAAAACTATAGATTTTCTATTACACGTAAAGCATTACTTGAGAAAAATTATTAACAATTTTTGTTTTAACTTTGTTACACGAAAAAGTAGTTAAACTTACTTGTAACGTAGAGACTGTAAATTTGTTTATTTAGTGTACTTTTGATTTATTTGATCACAGATATGTATTTTACTTAAGGTGTTCTTGTAAATGTGATTTAACAGTACCATGTGATAATAATAAACGATCGTAACTTTACTTATAGGGATACAATCATACTGAATCAAAAAATTTTTCATAACCACGGTTATAATTGTCATCCCTTTCACATATTTCATGATGTAAGGATCCATAATTAAACTTTTTTGTCATTTACAATTCGTTAGATTTTTGTATACAGTAGCTTATATTGAATTCATAAACTACTGCTTGTTTAGGACCGAAATACTTCCTATCTTTTTCCTGAAATTCTACTTTTATATAAAACTTACTGCACAAACATTATTGGTTAGCTAATCTATTGCATTCTTGATTAAAATCACTCTTAACTATCGTAACACAGAAACTTATTCGAGACTACAGTTACAATTATACTGAAATTTCTTACAAAGCTTTTAAAAAAAAGATTCAAGACAAATTTGTAAAATTAACTTTTTCCTAGCAGTAATTACACTAATTCTCCTTATAAAGTGAGCCATGCTGTATAATAAGTTTCTGAAAAAGCCGTCTTACACTTTTAAGTGCGTACATAAAATATCGAATAGATATCACATCGAATACCTGTTTTCCAGCTGTAATTTTATGTGAATTTGATTTGAGTTAACTTTAACCATTACAAGTTATAATTAAATTATAGTTTTCTCTTTTGTGAGTGGAAAAACGTGGGATCGTCTAAGTGAAACAGAGATTTATTTATTTTTGCCACTAATTTCGTTGAAGAGTCAAAGTCTCAGGATTTTTGTTACGCAAGAAATGGAAATATCACTACTTAGAATCTCATTTAGAACAAATTTTTTATTCACCAGCGAAGTAACTGTTAATGTTACCAAAAAAAAAAAAATATTTTTTACTGTCATATGAACGCACACATAAGAAGCCCTTGAAGATAAACTATTTATTATAAGCTAGTATTACACGTGTAAGGGTGAACTTAACAAGAACCATTAAAGTCAGAGAATTCTTTTTTTATACATACTTATGTTGGATTATTGTATATATATAAACTATTATGGCATACAACCATACAAATTTATAGTGTGTAAAACTAGCGTGTTGGCAAGAAAATTTCCTTTATCCGTCACACTTATGAGAACAGGCGTATTCCTGTGAAGTACAGGTGTACTCCTGTTTCAGCTATGTCTTGCCTTGAAAGTCCTAAATGCTTCTTGCAACTTACATAGATCTGTGTATTAACCTTTTCTTGATCAAACTATTAGTATTATGTATTGACCTCTTCCATCTAAATTGCTCTACATTTTTAGAACTTTTTTTAACGGAAGATCACTGAGGTGTGAAAAAACTTTTTTAATGAAAATTACAAAGCAGTGAAAAAAGACATCTGACTCAGCTAGAAGTCAAACCTGCCCCTCCTTCTTATGAGAAAGGTACGTTTATCAACTAAGCCACCGAAGCCTTGGCAGATACACTTCCCCACTACTGTGTTAAGCTTGTCTTAGGGCGAATGCTGATATCATTGATATTAGTGTCATTGCTTGTAAGTACTATTCGTAATTAGTCAAATTATGGATATCATATATCGATCTCTTTCATTCAAATTTCTCGATATTTTTAAACCTTTGGTAAAAGTCAAAATCGCTGATATGCGCTGTATTTACTACTTTGTAATTTTTATTAACAAAGTTTTTTTGCACATGAGCAATTTTCACTTTAAGAAAAAGCTTTAAAAATATAGAGCAATTTGGCTTAAAGTGGTCAATATATAAAAATAATAATTCGACTGATTACGAACAATACATGCCAATAAATTTTTTGTACAATTAGTATGAACAAAAATTGTTGTGGTAAAAGAGATAACTCAAATGTATAAGGGTCTTTTCAATTTTTAATAATCTTCATTGACGCACTACCACACTGTTACTGTAGTTTCTTACTTCACCAGTGAAAAAAGTTCATTTCTATAGCATGTTCTTCATAATAGACAAAGTATGATAATCGTTTATTGTCAAACAACCACAATTATTTTTCTCATCTGCATATGCTTTCGATAAATCTATATTAATACTTATGTGAAATACATAGGGGAAACAAAGACAGCACTAAAAAAGAGGAGAAGAGAACACAAAAACAATTATAAAACAGAATCTGTGGTATCTTTATATCAAACTTTCAATAATCATACTTTTAAATGGGATGACATTAAAATAATGGACAAGGAGTCAAATTATAGGGAACAACTGATTTCTGGAATGCTTCATATAGTGTCAGACAACAATAATATAAATAAGAAAGAGGACCTATACAGTTTGAGTCATACTTGTAAGAGTTTTTTCAAAAATATACGTTGCTGACCATGTCTATCAGCTTGATACATTGATCTCATGATATATCTGTGTAAATATGCGTGTTCTACTATAAATTGACAGCTTTGAGAAATGTGGACGCTTTTGCCAACTTGAATGGCGTGCAAACGAACATCGTCACGTTAAATCTTTTCCTCTAGTGTTTGCCCCGAAAGATCAACTAAAAAAATTAATAATTCATACAAAAATGGAGGGCAAGAAACATCATAATTAACATAACTATATTAATAATATATTTGTACGTAAGTACAAGCACNCCAATATATCGATATATCATCAAAAAAGTATCGGTGTTTCCAATTTATCAATATATTTTGCTTATCCCTATTCAGCACTAGGTTGCACTTGAGGTGAAAATATTCAACTTAAGGCTTTTTTTTTCTACAAAAATGGAGGGCAAGAAACATCATAATTAACATAACTATATTAATAATATATTTGTACGTAAGTACAAGCACTCATGTATAGCAGATACAAATACGAGCATTTGTTGAATAAGAACAGTACAGCCATCTGTGGGTTAGTGACAATATTTTTTCTTTATTTTAAATAAGATACACTTAAGTGAATTTAAACACTAGAAGATTAAAAAAACTAAAGTCAGAGCTAAACAGTACGAGTTAAGAAAATATAAGAAATTGTTTTACTTTATTAATAATAACACTTAAACTATAAGGTGAAGGTTCATACATTAATGTGTTACGCACTCGTGTGCTCAACTGGTACTCGTTCCCGTCAACTCCGGCACTCATGTAAGTCAATCACTACTCGTGCGGGAAATCGTCTTTTCCGCACTTGTTACGTAAGTAACTATTTTGTGTTTAAAGTGTTCTAAGTAAAGCTTTAAAGTTTAATGGTAGCAAAAAACTGAGTACTTGAATAGAACTCTGTCAGTCAAATATCAAGAAGGTTTGAATAAGTTTATTAAGTTTTATATGTATACAAGTTGATAATAATTAAATTGTTTATCGAAACATTTTATTTCAAAAATGTCTTACATAAATATAAATAAGAATATTATTAACTGATGTGAAGACTTAGCATTTGTCAGTAAGAAACATTCCATGCTATTAAAATTTTCGTAATTATAATTCATAATATTTAGCCGTACTTATATAGCTGAACTTCCCTTCATGTACTACCTTTTAATAGCATACTGTTATGTACGAACAGTCTATAAACGTTGATCTTATTTATCATTAGTCCTCTCGTAATATCCTACCCATGTTATTCGATACTATCAGTACAGAAATTTGACCATTAACAACAACACATTATGTGCAGCTGGCTTTTACATGTTTACAAATGATGAGTTTTCTGCCATTTATTATATTGATTATGTTTCCAACTTATAACGATTCTTGTTATTTTTAGTTTGCCTGATAAGGTGTCAAAAACTAAGATGGAAAGTAATTTAAAATATGTATACTTATTTATAGTGGTATATATTTTTTTTTTGCCGCTAATCTCTCGGATTTTACATTAAGTAGAAGTTGCTGTTGAAATTGTGTATGATATTTCTTGTGGACATACGCGATAAAGAATGTTGAAACTTTTGATTATTCACATTCTCGGATGAACTAGTAAGAATTAATGCTATTAAATAAGCACTTTATAAGATTGTTAGAGGTTGCATGCGTGGTTAGAGTTTTGCGATGGTAGCTTGTTTCAAAAGGAGGAAGTTATGCATTACACAATTCCAGAAGCAGGTGTACAGTTCGACGTTTGAAGATTGCTGAGCTCTTGATTGTTATAATTTTTTTTAAGTTGATTAATTTTTGTAGTTGCTTTGCGTTGTTACAGTATTTTTTTTTCTTTTTATGCTTTAGTCTTGCATCCTTTGTTGTTTTTTCCAATACTTGAATACAACGTCATTACTTTTTTTTAAATATACATTACCTGCGATTTTTTTTTTTTTTTATTAAAAAGCATCCTAGTTTTTTTTTAAAGATGTAATTATTACTGGAGCAATCCATGTTTTTCTTAGTATCATTTCTTGCTTTTTCCCATTT